TATCACCAACATAGGCCAATCAGCTAACCAGTATTTTCGCCCCTTCCCAAAATTACTTCAACGGAAGGTTTCAGGTGTCAGGTTAATACACATTAGCCTTTTAAAGTATTCACTCCTCTTAACAATTTTCAATTCTTTTCATTTGCAATTCATAACCAAATGTAATTACTTTAAACAAACTTGAGAATAACCTGTGGGTGATTTATGAAGCAATATTTTTTATTTCTTTTTAGAACTTGATATTTTATTATTTATGCAGATTGTGGTGATATTCAGCCTCTTTTTTACTCTGACACCCCTATATCATAGGTCTTTAGGATTTTTTTTTTCTTGACCACACCCAAATTAAATTACTTCTTAGCCTATCTTTGAGTTATTCAGAGGCTCACTGAGGCAATAAGTAATTCATTTGAGTCAGGTGTGTCAGAACGAAGATTTAACTAAAGGTTGCAGCTGGACCCGTGCCCTAAAAGAAATCCCATACCTCCAACTGCATTCAGCAATAACCTCATAAAAATACTCTCATCTCTCTAGAAATAGAGCTGTTGTGATAAAATCAACTTGTGTTTTTATGTATTACAGTTTGGTTATAATTGAACTTTTGAGCACCCTATTCAGATCCTCTAAGCTAATTTAGTTGTTTTATTTTAGGTGCGAGCCTTCGGCCCAGGCCTTAAGGGTGGCATTGTGGGTAAACCAGCTCCCTTCACCATTGACACAAAAGGAGCTGGGGCGGGGGGCCTTGGCCTGACAGTTGAGGGTCCCTGCGAGGCCAAAATCGAGTGCCAGGACAACGGCGATGGGACATGCTCAGTGTCATATCTTCCCACCGAGGCTGGCGAGTACGCTATTAACATCCTGTTTGCTGAGCAGCACATCCCTGGCTCTCCCTTTAAAGCCGCCATCTGCCCAGCCTTCGACCCCAGCAAGGTGACAGCTAGCGGGCCAGGCCTGGAGAAGGCCAAGGCGGGTGAACCAGCCACCTTCACAGTGGACTGCACAAGAGCAGGCGAGGGAGAGCTCACCATCGAGATTGTGTCTGAAACTGGGATCAAAGCTGAAGTACACATCCAGAAAACATCCGAGGGGACTTTCTCCGTCACGTACATCCCATCCTTCCACGGCACGCACACCATCACTATCAAGTATGGCGGGCACGCTATTCCTTACTTCCCAAAGGTCTTGCAGGTGGAACCCTCTGTGGACACAAGTGGGGTTCACGTTTATGGGCCTGGAGTGGAGCCAAGAGGTAATATTAGCTTTGTTATTCTAATGAATTCCACCTCCTTTAGCGAATAATAGCCGTGGAATTACCGCTGCTTTGTGTCTAAATCAATATGAGTGTGGATGCATGATGACTTAGCGTTATTGAGCCCATTTGATGCCAGGCAGCAAATCACCAGAAGTGCTTTTGTGTTTCAAGGGGTCCTGAGGGAAGTCACAACCCACTTCATTGTGGATGCACGTGCCCTCAGCAAGGTTGGAGGCAACCGTGTGCAAGTTCATATTATCAACCCCTCCGGCGCCAACACGGACACCTACATTACTGACAAGGGAGATGGCACTTACAGAGTGGAGTACACAGCCTTTGAGGACGGTAAGAGCAGAGAAAAGAAATCAATCTTTAATGAGGTCATCCAACTTTGTGGAGTTAAACATTTCTGTTAAGATACCATGTAATGCAGAGGATTTTTACAGAGGCAAGAAAATCTTCACCCAGCTAGAGAGGAAAAACCCACTAACAGGTGCTCGTTATAGGCGCCGTTTGGGAATAAAGACGGAGCAAGTGAGGCAGGGGTATAAATACAGAATGATGCAGTTAAGCAATGAAGTGAGGGGCAGAGATCAGGCAGACCGGCTCTGCTTTATAAATAGTGAGCTGTGGAACAGAAGCTCTTAACCAGGCAGGTATGTGTGCTGAAGGCTGCCTGCGCACAGGGGATGACAGGGGGGATATTAATAGAGACCTATAACACAAAGCAAAGAGATCACAGAGCACTTCTCGTTTCACCAGACATCCTCTAATACTGTAGCAGCGTTGCTGTGAATCTGCCGTACGGGCCTACCAAGAGCGCTCTGTCAGAAAAATGTTGTGACAGAATAATGAATAGGGAACAGATGTAACGTCTTGGATGTTCACCCCAGCGTCTGCGCTCTAGATAGCTTCCTTTATAAATAAACAGATGTTTATTTCCTTATAAGGGAATGTATCTGGCCTATAATCAACAGAACGAGTGAAACGGCTGAATAATTTTGCCTGTTATGTGAACATTGTTGAGATGATTTTTATTTGTGCACAGGTATGCATCTGATTGAGGTACTTTATGACGCCGCAGCGGTTCCTAAGAGCCCCTTTAGGGTGTTTGTGGTGGAAGGGTGTGATCCGACCCGTGTGCGCGCATTTGGACCGGGTCTGGAGGGAGGAATAACCAACAGGCCGAACTGTTTCACAGTGGAAACGAGGTAATGTATGATAGTGTGGATGTTTCAGCCTACACTAAAGAGCATGCAACGAGACAAGATCTGTAACATATTAATGCAATAGAAAAGCTAAATTCACAACATAACATATATATATAGCATTTAAAGTATATCCTTTAATTTAAAATATATAATTAGTAGTTTAGTATTTAACACCATATGTGGTTCTACTTTTGTATGCTGCTGTTCCTTTATGAAGAGAAGGTTCAAGCATACTTTGCACCCTTGGCAACCCACTGCTCAGCGAATCAGGATGCTTCTTTGCAACAGGTAGAACAAGTCAATGGGGAAGCAGCTCTCCATTGACAACAAAAAAGGATTTAAAATATGATAAGTGACATAAAATCTCATGTTTTATTCATCAGACATTCTGTAGCCTCCTTTTAAACGCTGCCCTCGGTAAAAGTTCATAAAGTTGTCAAAGAAGGCATAAGGAGCCTCTCTTATTCCTGCAGCAACCATTGACCAGATCCTGTAGAGAAAGTGGGAACACTCCATCAAAAGCTACAAAATGGATGGGTGTTCTAGTCTTAATGAATTAGGACATCTAGAATAGGAGAAGAAACAATACAGTGTGATAGAAGAAAGAAGGAATAAACGTGTTCTTCTCTCTCCCAGGGGTGCAGGCACAGGGGGCCTGGGTCTGACCATCGAGGGAGCCTCAGAGGCCAAAATATCCTGCAAAGACAACAAAGATGGCAGCTGCAGTGTGGAGTACGTTCCCTTCACTCCTGGAGATTATGACGTGAATATCAACTACGGAGGCCAGCCGATCCCTGGCAGCCCGTTCCGTGTACCGGTGAAGGACCCGGTGGATCCAACCAAGGTGAAATGTTCTGGACCAGGTCTGGGCGCTGGAGTGAGGGCGCATGTTCCCCAGACTTTCACAGTAGATTGTACGCAGGCTGGACAGGCCCCACTGGATGTCAAACTCTACGGACCAACAGGTAAAAATAAGGATAAGTTATTTTTGAAGAGATACTATAGAAGTGATGTGAAGTTATGTTGAAAGTTTATGAACATTTGATATATTACCTGCACATGAAACACCTTGGGTGTTTAGATCCAGATTAGCTGGTCTTGAAATCTAAGTCTAACATCTAGTTTGAGACGAGCTGAGATGTCCTAGCCTCATGAGACCATCCTGATCTCGCGAGCTTTCAAGGTTTCACTCATATATTAGTCTGGAGACTCTCCGTTAAAGAAAATTTGGAGCCGTTCACCAAACGAACGTCCAATCAGCGTTGGCTTTGAGGCGGGTTGAGGTGTGACGCAACGAGAAGAGCGACAGTTCAGTCTAAAAAACATGGCGGCTTCAGCCGATGAAACTAGCGTTAGCGTGGCTATCGAGCAAGTTGTATCGGAATTACAGAGTATTTCTTCACTGAAAGAAGAGCAAAACACTGCTCTGGAGGCTTTTCTCAGAGGAAAAGATTTTTTTGCTCTTCTCCCGACTGGTTTTGGCAAGAGTTTGATCTATCAATTGGCTCCTCTTCGCCGTCGCTCTGTTAGTACGTCATATGCTTCGTTGATCTGATTGGTTTATTTGGCCCATCTATCACCAACATAGGCCAATCAGCTAACCAGTATTTTCGCCCCTTCCCAAAATTACTTCTACGGAAGGTGTCCAGGTGGATATGCGGAGCAAATCCATCTGGCGGAGTCAGGTTAGAGATGTCTTTAAATGTTCTAATTAACCTTTTGTCATGTTGAAATTGGCAGCTTCTATATAGAAATGAGTGTCTTTTTATTTATTTTTACAAAATGGCTTGATCAACTTGATACTATAGTATATATACAGATTGTGGTGATATTCAGCCCCTTTTACTCTGACACCCCTAAATCATAGGTCTTAGACTCCTGTCTTCTAGAGCCACGTTTTGATTTTTTTTCTTGACCACACCTAAATTAAATGACTTCTTAGCTTGTCTTTAAGTTATTCAGAGGCTGACAGAAGCAATGAGCAATTCATTTGAGTCAGGTGCATCAGAACAAAGATGTAACTAGAGGTTGCAGTTTGAGACCCGTGCCCTAAAATAAATCCCATGCCCTTAACTGCATTCAGAAATAACCGTATCAGTAGAAGTGCTTTCATCTCTCAAGAAATACAAATGTTGTGATAAACCAACCTATGTTTTTATGTATTACACTTTTGTGGTTATAACGGAATTTTTTAACACCTTAAATTTCCTAAGTAACCTTTTTATGATGTTGAAATTAGCAGGTTCTATATAGAAATTAGGAACTTTTTTTTACACAGAAAGAAAAGACAGTAAAATGCAGTGCATCACCAATGATCTTCCCTTTTAACACCAATAATCAAGCATATCAGGTTTTTCAAGCCAGAATAACTACATGATGGCAAAGTGAGGCATTATAAAATAACATTCACTCGAAAACTTTATATCCCTGCCTGCGTTTTACCAGTTTATTATAAGTGTTTAGCAACAACGCGGCCTAGAAGCACTTTATATATGCTGTTCTCAGATGGTGTTTCACAGGGGAAGATAACTGGTGATCCTCTTTACTTAATTTCCAATTTGATTAATCAATCAGGATTTGTTAGCTGAGCACTTTTCCTACAGACCAACAAATAAAAATGGTATTATAAAGAAATTGTTGAAAAGAAAAAAGGATGCAAACAACAAACACACCAAAATATGTTAGACTGAGTTTATAACAAGAAATATTAGAGAAATACAGTACAATTAAAAAATATATATATATATATATAAACAATTTAATTCTGTCAGCTAAGATACAAAATAATGCACCTTGATCCAAAAATTTGTTTAGATTAGTCAAAAACTATATTGAAGATAAGTATAAACCGATTTCCAATTAAATGAATTTAATTGGAAATTAAATAAATATTTCCCTTTATAATGTATCCCTATAAATTAAAGAAGAACACAATAAAAAGCAGTAAAAACAATCAAATTTATTGAATTATTTTGATTGACAAATAAAATGAAACTGTTGAACGCCGCTTTAGTCTTAGTCCATCTCAGATTAGCCGTTAGCTTCAGCTTCTGGAAATAGCTGATCTGGATTCATGCTAAACAAAAAAAGCTACTGCAGGTAAGAAACTAGCTGTTCATGTTCTTTCCATAACACCGTACTGGAAATGTTCTGATTTATTCCTTTAACCTTTTAGTCACTACAGAAAAGGGATTAAAAAATGCAACGTTTCTCATGTGTTTGCAGGCAGTGTGGAGCCTGTAGGTGTGAAGAATAACGGTGACGGCACCCACACAGTGCACTACACCCCAGCGCAGGACGGCCCCTACACTGTAGCTGTTAAATATGCAGATCAGGAAGTCCCACACAGGTTCAGTATAAGATAAATGAGTTTATAAAAAATAAAATAAAACACCCTGTCAGACTGTATGTGTAGATATGTCTTAATTAAAGCTCTGCCTGCCTGGAAAAGAACGTGTGCTTCAGCAGGTCTTCTGTCCTTATTTCCCTTTATCCTTTACTCTCTCCTCCCCCCCTTTAACAGCCCTTTCAAGGTAATGTCTCAGCCTGGGCACGATGCCAGCAAGGTCCGCGCCAGTGGGCCTGGTCTAGACACCAAAGGCGTGCCTGCCAGCCTGCCTGTTGAGTTCACGATTGATGCTCGGGATGCTGGAGAAGGATTGCTCACTGTGCAGATTCTGGTGAGCGCAGCTGCGAGGTGCGGTAATAATCTGAGCCATAAGCTTCTGTGTCTAACAAACTTCATTTGCATATAATTTACAGGACCCAGAGGGAAAGCCGAAGAACGCAACCATCCAAGACAACAGGGATGGAACCTACACTGTTTCCTATGTGCCTGATTCTACTGGCCCTTACACAATCACCATCAAATACGGAGGAGATGAAATTCCCTATTCTCCATATCGAATCCAGTCGCTTCCCACAGGGGACGCCAGCAAGTGTCGCCTTACAGGTAAGAAAGCCCTGTTGCTTCTATAATAGTTCTTTAAATGGAAACAATCCTTTAGCTTATAATTATTTTCTCCTTTATCCTGCAGTTTCAATAGGAGGACATGGAGTTTGTAAGTTAAAAAATATTCGTCCTTTTTCTTTGAGCTAAACTATAGTTAAGTTCAGATAGATTTATTTCCAAAGTTTACCTTCTGTTCCTCTTCCATCTCTGCCTCTAACAGCGAGTCTCCAGAAGCTGCAGACCTCTGAGGATACAGTCATCACAGTGGATGCCAAGGCAGCCGGAAAGGGCAAGGTGACCTGTAAGGTGCTAACGCCACAGGGGATGGAGTTGGACATGGATGTGGTGGAGAATCACGACGGTACCTTTGACATTTACTACACGGCCCCCGAGCCTGGGAAGTATGTCATTACCATCCGCTTCGGCGGGGAGAACATCCCAAAGAGTCCCTTCCATGTGGTGGTGAGTACACGATGAACACATAGAGGTTACAGATGCATGCTCTACAGAGGTAG